GTGCTGGCACACATCCAAAGAAGAGCAGTGAAGCTAGTAAAGGTTCTAGAGAAAAGGTCTATGAGAAGCAGCTGAGGGAACTGGGATTATTTAGCCTGGAGAAAAAGGAGCTGAGGGGAGACAATATTGCTCTCTACAACTACCTGAAAGGAGGCTGTAGCCAGGTGAATGTAAGTTTCTTTTCCCGTGTAACAAGTGATAGGACGAGAGGAAACTGCCTCAAGTTGCACCAGGGGAGGTTTAGATCGGATATTAGGAAAAAGTTTTTCACTGAAAGGGTTGTCAAGCGTTGACATGGGCTGCCCAGGGAAGTGGTTGAGTCACGATCTCTGGAGGTATTTAAAAGCTGTGTAGATGTGGCACTTAGGGACATGGTTTAGTGGTGGACTTGGCAGTGTTAGGCCTATGGTTGGACTTGATGATCTTAAATGTCTTTTCCAATCTAAATGATTCTATGATTCTATTCTACAACTATGCTATCATTCTCCATGCAAAATTCCCATCTGTTGCAATGGGAGGCCCATGAACGGAACAACGGCACGATACGTGGAATCCAAGTATAATCCAGTTATTCCAGTTTAGACAATTTAGTCAGAGATCTCTGTACTGACAAGAAGACTCTCCAAAAATTCCTTTTAAAAACCCACCTTTTCCAAAGTTGAATAAGAACTGTCCAAAATCAAGAATTCTGAAATGGGTTTATGTAGTATTAGAGTAAAATCTCCAGTTTAAAGTTGGGCTAAGAGAAAGAAAAAAAAAAAAAGACAAACATATGGTTATTAAAAAGTTCTTCTCAGTTGTATCATTCATTGTAAGCCATGTAATCATAATTGCATAATTACAACAGTTTGCTTCTTACCAAAAAAAAAGCAGTCATCGTTTACTCTATTCAATATTACAAACCTTGCTGTATAACATAAAAATTCAGCATTGAAAATTCTGTGTACAGGAATGTCCAAGACTATCTGTAAGTCCTTCCCCTATGATGTTAGCCTTCTTGGGGCAAAGGAACAGGGTATGGGAGAAAAAAGACAGCAGTGGACAGGAGATGTGTGGAAAAAATTCTTTTGTGCAATTCTCAGGTGTGTGTTGACACTGCTGGTGAAGTAAAGGATTTGGGCCCTTGTGTAGTCATGCTATTTGTAAAACATGCATGAATCAATCATAGAATCATAGAATCATAGAATTTCCCAGGCCGGAAGGGACCTCCAAAGGTCATCTAGTCCGACCTCCCCGCAGTCAGCAGGGACACCCCCAACTAGACCAGGTTGCCCAGGGCCTCGTCGAGCCTCTCCTTGAATATCTCCAGGGATGGGGCCTCAACCACCTCCCTGGGCAACCTGTTCCAGTGCTCCACTACCCTCACAGTAAAGAACCCCCTTCTAATCTCCAATCTAAATCTGTTCCCCTCCAGCTTGAAGCCATTGCCCCTCGTCCTGTCACTGCAGGCCTTTCTAAACAGGCTCTCCCCAGCCTTCCTGTAGGCTCCCTTCAGGTACTGGAAGGCTGCTATTAGGTCTCCCCGGAGCCTCCTCTTCTCCAGGCTGAACAACCCCAGTTCCTTCAGCCTGTCCTTGTAGCAGAGGTGCTCCATCCCCTTGATCATCCTTGTGGCCCTCCTCTGGACCCTCTCCATCAGGTCCATGTCCTTCTTGTATTGAGGGCTCCAGACCTGCACACAATACTCCAGGTGAGGTCTCACCAGAGCAGAGTAAAGTGGCAGAATCCCCTCTCTGGACCTGCTGGCAACGCTTCTTTTGATGCAGCCCAGGATGCGATTGGCCTTCTGGGCTGCAGCTGCACACTGCCTGCTCATGTCCAGCTTCTCGTCCACCAGAACCCCCAAGTCCCTTTCCTCAGGGCTGCTTTCCAACACCTCACCCCCTAGTTTGTATTGGTGGCGAGGATTGTTCCGGCCCAGGTGCAGAACCTTGCACTTGCTCTTGTTGAACCTCATGAGGTTCACCTGGGCCCACCTCTCCAGCCTGTCCAGGTCCCTTTGGATGACATCCCGTCCCTCTGGTGTATCGACAACACCACACAGCTTGGTATCATCCGCAAACTTGCTGATGGTGCCTTTAATCTCCCTGTCTATATCATTGATAAAAATGTTAAACAGCACCGGTCCCAGCACGGACCCTTGAGGAACACCACTTGTGACTGGTCTCCATCTGGACTTTGAGCCATTGAGTACTACCCTCTGGATGCGACCATCTAGCCAGTTCCTTATCCACTGAACAGTCCACCCATCAAATCCGTACCCCTCCAATTTGGCAATCAGGATGTTGTGGGGGACCGTGTCAAAGGCCTTACAGAAATCCAGATAGATCACATCCATAGGTTGCCCCTTGTCTACTGACCAAGTCACTTTATCATAGAAGGCCACTAGGTTAGTCAGGCAGGACCTGCCCCTAGTAAAGCCATGTTGGGTGTCCTGGATTACCTCCCTGTCCTTCATGTGCCCAAGCATGGCATCTAGGAGGATTTGTTCCATGATCTTCCCAGGCACAGAGGTGAGACTGACAGGTCGGTAGTTCCCAGGGTCCTCCTTTCTACCCTTTTTAAAAATGGGTGTGATGTTCCCCTTCTTCCAGTCTGCAGGGACTTCACCTGACTGCCATGATTTTTCAAATATCATGGAAAGTGGTTTGGCAACTACATCAGCTAGTTCCTTCAGGACTCTGGGATGTATCTCATCAGGTCCCATGGACTTGTATATCTTCAGGCTCCTGAGTTGATCTCGTACCTTGTCTTCACTTACAGTGGGAGGGACCTTGTCACCCTGGTCTCCAACTTTTTTGTCATCAACACAAGAACTAGGAGGAAGGGGGTTACCAGTGAAGACCGAGGCAAAGAAGTCATTGAGAACTTCTGCCTTCTCCTCATCTGTTGATACAAGTTCCCCACTGTTGCACATCAGGGGGGGTACATTTTCTTTAACCTTCCTTTTCTGGTTAACGTACCTGTAGAAGCCTTTCTTATTTTTCTTTACGTCCCTTGCCAAGTTCAGTTCTAGCTGTGCCTTGGCCTTCCTGACCTCATTCCTGCACATCTTGGCAGCATCCCTATACTCTTCCCAGGATGCCTGTCCCTTCTTCCATTTCCTGTGTAGCCCCATCTTGCCCCTTAGTTTGACGAGCAGGTCTTGGCTCAACCATGGTGGTCTCTTGCCCTCCTTGCCCATTTTCCTACATGTGGGGATTGAGATCTTTTGTGCTCTTTTAGTAGATCTGCATGTTTAGTTTCCGGAGTTTTCAAGGGCAATATGAGAAGTTGTAAATTCTGCCATGGTGTCATCCTGTGGTGGTTTCCCCACTTCTGAGCCAGAGGGTGGTGCAACGTTGTCCGTTCTTCTCCTGTCCTCCAGGAAATGGTCTCTGAAGTCACTGTGTGAGGAGATTTGGACACATAAAGGACTCACTGGTGGTATAGAAATCTTAGTACTCATTTCAGGACTTTTCTCACCCCTGCTACGTTCAGTTCACCTAGCTGGTTTTCCATAATAGCCCCTTCCCACTGAGTCTTTTTGGTATTCTTTGTCCTGTTTCCTTGCTCACCAAGTCCAAATATCCCCAACCAAGTACTGCTGGCCAGTGCAAGCTAAAATCTCTTTCTCCCACTGTTCCTAGTTACTTTTGTTTCTTGTTCCAAATTTCTCTTTTAAGCCTAATTTCCCAAGCCTAGCTCTGTCTAGCTTATCTCTTTTTTATTTTGGCCTTCAGATATCTTCAGCGTTTATGTTCCTTGTTCCTGTTATGCCAAGCCAGACCTTCTTCTTTCCTCCTATCTGACTTCCCAACATCTGTAACTCTTTTTTCCCCCCTGAGTTGCTTTCCTCTTGCAAACTCTGTATCACTCTCCATCTGCTCATCTAGCTTTTCTTCTAGGCTGTTTTTCCTTTCTACTGATGTGCAGTTCTCTTAAATGCTTTGTGGTCTACACTTGCTCCTTTTTCCCTTCTGTCCTTAGTCCTGGTGCCCTTGGCAGAGTTTCCATTTCTTGTGCTAGCTTCTGACTTTAGTCATTTTTCAGACTCAGTGCCGGGATACTGTTCTCCACCCCTAACACCCCTCATGTACCTTACTTTTCTCCTTCGTTGCCTGACCTTACTGAAGTACCACACTCTAGAGCTTAGGGAAGACAAGGCTTTCTACGTGCCCATCTGGATATAGCATGTCCTGAAGCACCATAATGTTGTGACTGCAAGAGACGTCCAGCTCAGCCCCATGTGGGAGAATGCCTACTATGTTAAGAAAGAGTTCTTGGATCCAGTTAGCAATTTTTGCTTCATAAAATAAAACAAATAGACAGACCAAAAAAAAAAAAGAGTTGGCCACTCTGAGACTTCAGGCAATGCAGAAGCATAGGCATGCAAACTGGATGAATTCTGAACAGAGTGAGAGCACTGATTTGAAATCCCTGTCCAACAAATTAATACTTAAAAGGTAGAGTTCCTGGCTTTCCTGAGGTGTGTGGATCTTTGCCTTTCTGCGCTGAATTCTTCCTCTCATAAGCTCACTTTCCTTCTAATGCCAATAGGTTACCAGTTTTTAAATTTTCCCCCAAAAGAAAAAAGCAGTGACAGAAAGTCTGTCATTTCTGTTAGAAACATTCCTGCTTTACAATTTGGGAGCCGAGTCAGACTCCCTTATTACTGAACAAACGGTGTAAAAGGGTTCCAGGGAGCATTCTTCTGTAGAGAATACAAGTCTTTAGGAAAACATACTTTCTCCCTGGAGGATTTCAGCATTTTCCGATTGGTGCCTTTTATGGCATACATTATGTATTGACAGAGATTAAGTTTCCCTCCTGTCTGGAACAATGCACGCTCAGGAGGAGAGCTACCGACCCCGCAATAAGCGTGAACAGCTCACGGCAAGCGGTGGAGCAGAGCTCTCCCTTCAGCTGTGCCTGTTCTGCCTCTCTCCTCTCTCCTCCTCCTTCTCCTCCTCCTCCTCCTCCTCTCTCTCCCCCTCTCCCTCTCTATTCTTCCCCTCCGTCTTCCACTCTTAGGCTTTCCTTAGACCCCTCGGCTTTGTCTGACTAGCAGGAGGGGGGGGGACTGGCTGCTGGACGGCTCGGGGAGCCCTTCCCCGCAGCTCACCCCCAAAACCCACCCACTCACGGCTGGGTCAGGAAATGTGAAGCGGGGCTGATGGAGGCGGAGAAGCGGGGCTGAAGGTCCGCACTAGCGCTGGATGTGACAGCCGGCAGCTCCGCAGTTAGGGCAAGTGTCCGACCCCACCATGGAGGGCTGTCGCTGGGCAGCTGCGGGCACTCTCCTTCTGGCTTCGCTCCTCCTGGTAAATGCCCTTTCTTTCCTGCAAATATGTATTGCTTGTGGCTGATATTGAATCCGTGTGTATGTATGCCGGTAGGTATGTTTCTAATCGTGAGGATCGCAGTTAGAGTTTGTTTTGAATAAACCACGTTAAATCTTACCCTCTCTAAAGTGTTGCCTTGATATTGGAGGATTGGAGCCTTGATATTGTGGGTTGCTGCAGGTAGAACCGAGAAGTTGATGTTGGCATCAGTTTTATAAACTCGGAGAGCAATGACCTGTGAATGGTGATTTAACTGCTGGGGATTTAGACAAGAGCTGTTTCTCTGCTCTTTAAATCATGGAGTTTAAATTATGGAGTTTTCTTTCTTCCTAAAAAAAAAAACAGGAAAGAAAAAATATTTTTCAGCTGTGCACATGCGGAGATACCAGGTACAGCGTGTACTGAACTTTTTCCTGCAGCCAGTTTAAATGAGCTCTCATTACTGCTGTAACTCATTACAGAGACAAGTTTATACCTTGGAAGTTTATACTTTTGGAAGTTATGTTATTTGATATCTGGTATACTTAAGGGCTATAAAGCTAATCGTTACTATATGATTTTCTTGCATATTTCCTCTGATTATCCTGATAGGGTGCTCTACAGTTGAGCACTGTAGCTCTGCTGTTTGATTGAGATTAAATGTTCCATTTTGATTCATACTTAATTTTATAAGTATGAGCTGTATGTTTGCTATCAGAAATTTGTAGTATGAATATTAATATGCACTTACTTTTGATAGTTGTCTTGACATAGGTATATGTTGTCTTTTTGTGAAGATTTGACTGACTGCAGTCATTCAAATAGCAAAGAATCTTAAATACATGAGCTTCATAGCAGCTTGCATCTTGTTATTTATCTGTATAAAACAATCTATGGTAATCATTGTAAACTAATCTTAAGACATTTTTCAGCAGCCACATGGGTACCCAAACAGTGGGATAACCCTATTTGAAATGCCTATTAAAAATACTGTATGATTTTTTTAACCTTCTTGGATATATAATCACTAAATGCTAATTAATCACTAGGAATAAGAATACTATCTGGACTGACCTAAAAGTCTTATTTTGTTTAAAGGTCTATTTTCCATTTAAAATACTGAATTATCACAAAACAGCATAGTGTCAGCATAGATTCTCTTTCATTTGTGAAAATGAGAAGTTTATAACCTGATGACTGTGATATATTACGAGTATACTGCAGTGCTAATTTAGGGAAGATCAACAGGAGATATGACTCAATAAGACTGTAAGGGCTGTAGGATTTGGCCCCATGTTAAGCTCATACTCATAACATTTGTACTTCACTCTGCTGCTTGTGAATTAAGTTCTCAGTTCCTAATTCATGAAAATAAATAGTGCATTCTGCTGCCAACTATTATGCATTATATTCCATACTATACTAGTTTGTATTTGTATGACTTACCCTGCCTCAAGAGATTTCCCCCCCACCTCCCACCAAATCTCTTTGTGCCTTAAGAATAGTGATGTGAAGCAAGCTTAACTTTCTTTTTTGAATCGGGCCATTCTTTTGCTCTTTCCATACTCAGGAAAATCTCTCACTTGCTTTCAGCAGGAGATTAGGTAAACATGCAAGAATTTGACTTACAGCTTGGGTAGAGATGGAGATAAGTTGTGGGATACCCAGGTATACATGTTACTACTATAGTTTATTGCAGCATGAGTTCACACAGGGCGTGGTAGAAAGCTCATGGATGTTTTTGAGAAAAAAAAAGAAGCATCTTATCAGGCCTGTGACCTGGCTTCTAGCCTCACAGGTTTTAGTCTTTAGTCAGGTAGGTGGAATGAAATTGGAAACTACAACAATCAGCATTTGGATTTATGTGCTTCACCTTGTACCTCTCTCCCTGTTTTGCCCACAGTGAGAAACACAAGCAGCATCTAGTCATATAGCACTCTGCAAACATCATCAGAAGTTCAAAGTTGTAATCACTAAGGCTAGGTAACAAACACTTACAGGATGAGTCTTACAATAAGTTATCACATGTTCCTATATTTTCAGTAACACACTGCAGAGCAAAGTAGCACCTTAAGCCTTTGTTTGGCATCCTTGCCTCGGCAAGGAGGTTGCAAAGCCCAGACACTTGCACAGCCCATGTGCACATGATGCTAAGGGGATGGACAAGCCCACAGGCAGTACCTGCAATAACCTCCTCTGTTCCCCTTGTCAGCCAGCAGATATAATCTACTTCAGGGAAGACTGCCTAGAGAGGTGTAGTAGTCCATATATCCCACTACTCCATCAGGATTCTTAAGCTTCTTCAGAAACAATTATATTAATTTTCAGTTGAGTGGTGCTTGACTAAGGTCTGTGGGGGTTGGTAGCTTATTTGTTAACTGCCCTAGAACTTGCTTCATACACAGTTTCCCTGGCATAAATGGGAATTAGGTACTTTCATAGATACTTTTGAGAATCTGAGCCATAACACTAGGCGCCTGTCTTGAAAAAGTAATGTCAAAATGAAAGTAACTTGAAAAGACAATTTCTCTCTTTCCCAGCTAAGACCAGGTATTTGGAGAATTTTGCTCATTGCCCTGTGAACTTTTGCATGTTAAGGAAATATTAACGCACTGCTCTTAAAAGAGACAAAAGAAAGCAGACATTCTGTTCTGAAGATTTCCCTTTCTATTGGTTTAAGAATAAAATCCTAACACAAACAAATCACAGTTGTCTAACTCAAAGGAAATGTGGCCAAAACCATAACCAGCCATGTATTCATCTGAAGTTGAAGTCAAATCACTTCATGTCAGAAGGGCGTTTAGTTACATTTGTGTATGCTGTTTGCATCTTTTCAGCAGCTTTTTTTAGCTCTCTTTGTTGCTGTTGTGGTACTTACAGAAGTAACACTAGGAACTGTAATAAAGTACATGTGGTTTTCTGCAGGATTTCTTTTTTTTTTTTTTTTTTTCTGTGCTAATTTGTACATGGAAGATAGTCAAATACAATAGTCCATTCCTTCCAGGCTCTTTGGCATTAGATTCCTCTATTATCTAACTGGGTCTGTCTTAGATGACCACAAGCACAATTAGCCAGTGCAATGAATATAATGTTTCTTGTTTACATCTGAATGTACAAAGCTTGACAGTTTGTCCTTTCATGTGTAGATAAGTCTACCTACTGTTGTATGTCTACTTTTCTGTTTCTACAATTGCAGCTGTGTAGAGAGGGATTTTTCCAGTAGAGGGTCCAAACTGAACACATTTCTTTTCACGTGCAATAGTGTATATGTACAGGCTGGCATTTGATCACTTCAGTTCAGTAAGAAGTTCAGCTACACAAGCTAAGATTTATTCATGTGAAGGAGCGCAAAATTTCTCACCATTGTGGTTTGTGGCCAGTGTATGTTCAGGCAAAATGAGGAAAGTAAGCAGCAGATATACATTTCACGGAGTGATGGAAAACCTTCATTGACCAATAATAGTCAATGCCTAGTGCAGTCCAATCATTTAGGTGTCCTTCTATTTCAGGGAATATAAAACATTTCTTCACAGGTTTGAGATTATTTTTTTAACCAGCCAAAATTTTTCCTTATGGAAAAAGGACAAAGAGAGAGGGCTGTCTACTGGTGACTAGAAAGATGTAAAGGTTGGTATCATGGTTTTAAAGATGCCATTCTCAGTTGTTTCATTTGTCTTTCAAGATAATTGTATGCAGTGTCTTATCTGTCTCTGTTGAAGGCACTCCCACAATTGGACAGGGTCATCGGCCTTTAAAGGTTTTGCCCTTCTTTTAGGAAGTGGCAAATGCCATTCTCAGAATTCTAACTCTTAATATAAATATAATTGTTCATAAGCATAGTATTAGCTGAGATTTGAGAGCAAGTTTCTCATCTATATACATTGATTTGTGCCAATAGAGGCAATAGAGCTATGCTGAATTCTACCTGCTTAGACTTTGTAGTAAAGGCTTCTCATTTAATAACTGTTTTATTTTGAACTTTTACATGTGGTATTTATATGTCATGCACAGAAGCAATTAAAATACCTCCAAAAAGCATTGGTCATGAATATCTTCTTTTGAAACTCTGAATGGCCAATTTACCTTACTTTCAACAGAACACCTTTGCTGGCTATTATGGGTTTGTTATGGTCCGAATTTGAGCACGCACATTGAAGACTACTGTGGGCCAGGACTTTCTCTCTGCTTCACTGGCCGTGAGATATTACCATATCTGAGATGACTACCTCCAGGTGCATTTCCAGCTTTTTTCTTTTTTTCTCCCTTTAGGTACCCCAATTAGAATTTCATTTGACATATGACCATTTTTTTTTCTTTTTGCTGCCAGAATCCCACTTTTCCAAATTTCTTATAAAAGCAGCTAAAGCTGCGGTGAAATTGGAAGGCAATATAGACAGGTGACTGGGGGAGGGAAAGCAGTGTGTGTACTTGTGAGATTTAATCTGCTTCCAAGGCAAGCATATGTAGAAATCTTAATAGTTTTGCCACCTCTGAATTATTTGGACACTACTTATAGGAGCAGTCCTTCTTCTAGTTGTGTAGAGAAATAAGTGGTATGTTCACTGATTCTACAGTACATTAATTTTCACATTGTTTCCATTTTCGTCCCCACTGCCTATAAAGAATTTCTTCCAAAACTTCAATGCTTTAGCAGTTGCCCTGGGATTTCTGCCTTTCAGGGACTTCTTGTAGAGCAAGTTCAGCAGAGAGGGTGTCAGGGCGGAGGGAAGGGGGTGTGTGATAACGTAAGACATCCTGAAATAAATTCCAAGAGTGCTCAAGAAATGAGACAGGAAATTATATGCAACTTATAATAAATTCAAACTGTCCCATAAAATAAATATAACTCATTTTGTTTCCATATGAATGCACTGTAGGAGTGTCAAATTTCCCCTTCTAGCTTTGTTGGATATAATCTCAGTCCCTGTTTGAAGTTTGCCAGTGTATTGTTCAGATCCTGTGCTATATCAACAGACTCAGAAATGAAAGGGAATAAAGGA